ATGCAGGGCGAACCGAGAGATGGGACACTCCGCTCAAGTGCCGCCACCTAGTACTACATGTTACACATTGTCAATACTTGAACCACACAAGAAGAAGGGGATCGCGAACGAGGGGATCGCGAACAGGAGCAGGGACAGCAGCAGGAGTAGGGGCATGATCCCGGGCTGCAGACGGCACACTCCGCATTCCAGTCCTGTCTCGCATGGCAAGACACGTTCGTGCCACAAGTGCCATTAGCAGATGCAAGCAATGGGTCTAACGGCGTGCTCCATATGCAAGGGGGAGCTACATGTACGGAGTCCTGCTGGTCCAACAGTGATAACCCCCAAGGCAGCTGAGCAATCATAAAAAGCAAAGAAGGAGAAAAAGCAAGAGAAAAGCCGTTTATAGACAAGAACTTCGTCGTCTTCTACTGGCGTGTCCTGCCGATCGCGGGTTAGACCGGGTCGTGAGACCATTGCGTCTGCTGCCCAACTGCTCCATGTAAAAGCATCCAGGGGTATGCGAACGAAGTGCGTGTAGGGTGCGAAGGCTGGCTTTACCACAGCGTCAATCAACTGTCATGTCGTTAAGGTATATATGAAGCTTCATTGCTCTTGATGACATACTTTTGACCACTATAGCAATGCTTGTACATAGCTTGTAAGGACATGATACGTTGTTCTGAGCAGCATGGATTCGCTCCCTCAGTACGGACGCGTACCCTAGACTTTGGCAAGAGTACATGCCGTTTCCTATCCATACGGCATTACGCATGTAGCGAAAGAATTGGGATGATTGTCATCTCTTTATGAGATGTGCTGTGTATTCTCAGAGCAGCGGCGAGAAGAAGAAGGATGCCGGGCGAAGCCAGAGATGTCACAACGCAACTGATTAGTAGGTATCTCCAATGAGTCAACTACCTAGGTAGTATCTACTCAGCAACAAACAGCTACGTGGCACATATATATATTTCTTTGGAAAAGGTATGAATAGTCCGAATTGCATCGAGAGCTCTACTAAAACCCAAGATGCTTATGCCGACATGCTCGGTCCGCCCCTGGACTGAGTTTCATGCTTCGATAACACTGGTCACAATCAGCGCCCTTGACGCTTACCTAGGTATCACGCGTCTTTATATGTGCTTAGAGTTTTACAATAACCGTAACCTGGATAAGATATCATGATTATTGTTTCATAACAGGACCTTTGACCAAAGACGTGAAAATGTACACCATTGGAGACTGGACGAGACCCATGGCAAACTTTCATCGCACCATAGATCGTAGTGGGATTCACACATATCGGTAGGTCTTCCGACGATATCAGTTGGTGGGAGGATTACCATTTGAGGGACAATGATGATGCATACGGCATTTGCAAACCTTGACCAGACATGCGTGCTTGGGAGATGGCTTCGTGAGAGCCTCAAGTTGCGGATGGACCTAAAGAAGCGGCAAACCATGTTCGGGATACCCTCTGATATGACTCCCGGAGTAAGATAACGCTGACTCTCCGATTACGTAGCGCGACTTGATCATTATCCACTGCTTCCCGAGGTCCCTGCATCTCGTCTGAGTGGAGTACTAGAGGACATCATGAGGATGATTCGTCCAGGCAGTTGTTTCAGGCGAAACAAAGATACCTCAACCAGGGAGAATGAGATGCACACTACTACTACTACCAGCTAGTACTTATGTTTCATGCACCCGCAGCTACAGTATCTCGATCCAAACTCGCTTTCCATTGGTTCAAAAGTTAGCCAGTCATCCATCGGTTTGCATCTTTAAACAGCCGTTGATGTTGTAATGTTGTGATTCAAATAGACCACGCGAGCGTAGAAGCTGTCTCAGACACATCTCGGCGGAATATGTAACTCATGGCTCTGTCTTCAATTGGGCTTGTTTACTTGGCACTGCTCTGAATTTGATCAAAAGCTATGGCCCTTTTCACTTATAGAGCCTTGAGCATAAGGCAAAAGTCATCGTATAGTGGGCACGACGAGAAACACATAATCACATGCATGCTGCTGTCTGGCCATGAGCACCGAGCGATAAGACTTCCCCCAAGCAAACATCTCAATGCTGCTTCTGCAGCCTCAGCTGGAATGCATAGATTCTCATGCAAGTGATCAATGCTTAAAGGATTGCCCCTGGACCCAGTTGTATACTTTTAATAAATGCAGCACTGCCGTCCTAAGATACGATGTACTATTGTACTGACTGAACATGCATTTCAACCGTCGACATTTGGCATTGAGCCTCTTTAGACTGGAATGTACCATTCGCTATCCTCCCCGTAGACAATTGATCTCTCTTTATGCCCGAGCTACACGCAAACCATCTTTTTACCCTAAGTAAAACCGTTCCCTCACAAGGCACCGAGGGCACCTTTCGTCCACGTAATCTACGTGTAGTATGTAGTCACAGTAGCGCATCGACAAGAACTTTCATATGTCAGATTCCGACAACATGGACGCCCCCCCAAAGAAATGAACAGCAGGCCCGAGCCGAGACGCGATAAGCAAAACGAACGACATCCGGCCTGCAAACAATGGCCCC